AAAAAAAAAAAAAAAACAGTATTCAGATGCCATTCTAAGGAATATTTGAAATGAGTGAGCCCAGACCAATCTGGAGACGCACTGCAGAGTTTACATGAGAGAATAAAACCGTCTGGACTTAGGTAGCTGTTGTAATGAGGCGTAGAAGGTGTAGATGCTATGCTTTGAGAAGGATGAGTTGTGTAGGGGCATGTGGAAGTACTTAAGAGTCATATGCTTGCATTGCCAGTAATGATTTTATAAGCTTAAAACGAATATACAAGTATTAGTTATAATTAGGCTAGGAACTGAATTAAGAAAATGATTGCAGAGGATGGGCAATGGAAAAACAGAAACAGGAGAGAAGTGGATTCAGAGGAATCCAGAGCCCTGCACAACGTGCTACTGGAAGCCTGGCACCTTTAAAACTTAAGGAGAGAAGGCCAGGCACGGTGGCTCATGCCTGTAATCTTAGCACTCTGGGAGGCAGAGGCGGGTGGACTGCCTGAGCTCACGGGTTTGAGACCTGCCTGAGCCAGAGCAAGACCTTGTCTCTAAAAATAGCCAGGCGTTGTGGCGGGTGCCTGTAGTCCCAGATACTTGGGAGGCTGAGGCAAGAGAATCGCTTGAGCCCAGGAATTTGAGGTTGCGAAGGAGACAAAGTCTCAGAAAAAAATAAAAAAAAAACTTAAACAGCGGCTTGCTGAAATTACACCCCTCGCCCAGAGCGACTCTGCTAGACAAGGTCTCTGAGCAGGCAAAACTCACCCAGCCAGGCCCAAGCAGAGCTATTTGCTCTGAGAGAGGGAGAGCTTTTGTAAAGTTAGATATGCAAAATGTTTAAACTTTATTAAAGAAGGCAAGATTTACTCCAGACCAGGTAAGGAGATAAAATATTTCTTTGCTTCTGTCACCTGTCTGAGCAACAAGCTTCTTGAGTATTAATTGTCACTGCTGTGATTTGTGTGCTGGCTTAATAGGAGTTTTTTCTGACGTCCTGCTTTTTCACTGTTCTATACTCTGTGTTAAAGATCATAAATACCTTAAAGCAATAAAAGTAAAAAGTAAATTCATCCAATTAACATGTTAAAGAAATAGTTTAGTTAGAAAAATGCAAGCATAGCAAGAACCATATCGGAATTGTTTACCTTTCTCTCATGAGATTTATGATTAAAACAATGGAATAGGCTCCGTGCCTGTAGCTCAAGTGGCCAAGGCGCCAGCCACATACACCTAAGGTGGCGGGTTCGAATCCCCAGCCTGGGCCTGCCAAACAATGATGGCTGCAACCAAAAAATAGCCGGACATTGTGGCGGGCGCCTGTAGTCCCAGCTACTTGGGAGGCTGAGGCAGGAGACTCGCTTGAGCCCAGGAGTTGGAGGTTGCTGTGAGCTGTGATGCCATGGCACTTTACCCAGGGGGATGGCTTGAGGCTCTGTCTCAAAAAAAAAAAAAAAAAAAATGGAATATGAAATAAAAACAGAGCTAGCCTGGGACAAGACACTACATGTGTATTAAGCCTCACGATAAAGATATGCAGTCTCCTGGCCCAGATTGATTCTTAAAACTTTCCTTTGTCTCTCATTTTTTCATTTTCTTTGTCCTCTTGTTCCATCAAGCCACTGGGAGGGAACCCATAATGTTGTTGGGACTGGTGCTCGACAAATTGTACGAGTGAGAATAAGAAAAAAATTCTAGGGCAATGCTGAACTCTTGGTTTTACACAACCACGGAGACCGTGCTGCTATTTACTGAGAGAGGGGCTAGTAGAGTAGGAGGGGGAGTAGGGAAGAGTATGAAGCATGTTACACTTTGTCTATGTTGAAATTAAAGTGGTAAAATGTATAGGGAGTTATACAATAGGTTCTTTGTCAAGCACAGAGGTAAAATTTGGGAATTCTTAGCATAGAGCTGGTAAATAAATGAGATTGCTCCAGAAGGGCACACAGGAAAAGATACAGAAGCCACATCATACAGACTGTCTCTAAACACAATGCAATTATGCCAGAACTGCAATACTAGGAGGAAACTTTTCAGAAACCATAATTTTATTTTTTTTTATCTTTGTATTTATTTATTTATTTTGGACACAGAGTTAAGCTGTCCCCCTGGGTAGAGTGCTGTGGCATCACAGCTCACAGCAACCTCCAACTCCTGGGCTCAAGCGAGTCTCCTGCCTCAGCCTCCTGAGTAGCTGGGACTACAGGTGACCACCACAATGCCAGACTATTTTTTGGTTGAAGCCGTCATTGTTGTTTTGGCGGGCCTGGGCTGGATTCAAATCCACCACCTTAAGTGTATGTGGCTGGCACCTTGGCCACTTGAGCCACAGGTGCTGAGCCAACACACCATAATTTTATTTATTTATTTTTTAATTTTAAAATGGCTTTCTTAAATTTTTTTAAACATAACATGAGGAAGGTGTTAAAACTGGTGTAACAGCTCAATAGAGTAAGTAATCCAGATGTGGGAAGGGATGAAGAGGGAGATATTCAGAACCCTTCACCAGAATCCCCCCAACTTGATCATAGTGGATTAATGATGTGCTTTGTGGATATGGTTAGTCAATGACACCAGCTTGACAGATCTTTCTTTCTACACCAAATCCCATTGAATTATCTGGTTCTGGCTGACGAAGAACCATTAGGTGAGGAGCAATGGCATCATCCAGGGTAATGTTCTTCAGCGATTGACCAACCTATCAGGTCTAGGAGCTACAACAGCTTTGGGGCCTTCACAGACTCACCAAACATTACAGGGGCTGCACTTGCCACGCTGATTAAGAATCACTGAGAACTCCACCTCATCTCCTGCCTGTAGCTCAATGCCATCCTGAACTTCTTTCACATGGAAAAAGAGCTTCTTCCTATCTCCTACTTCATAGTTAATGAAGCCAAACTGATCTTTCACACACTCCACTGTGGTCCTACATAGGGGTGTGGTGTTGTAGGCCATAGTCTATACCTTTTGGCCCAGTACACACAACTGGAACTTGACACTCTCCCCTTTCTGTAGGCAATCCCCTTCGTTGGCCATCCCAACTATGCCAAATGGATAGACCTCACCTTTCATATCCCCCTCCTCCACATCTCAGTCATTCCTTGGTACTCTGTCTATGTTGGATCAACACTCCTCAGGGAACGAATGATTTTGCTAGAGTAGATGGTGGGATCAGCTTCCTCAGTAATACCATTCACTGAATGTGTTTTGTTCACTTTTTCTGCACTGACTTTATTGCCTTTGCCTTTGGACAAGCTGTACTCGACCATGTCCCCTAGTTCCAGGCTATCAACATCACCAGAGAACTCACTGTAATGGAAAAAGATTTCCTTATCATGATTGGCTTGTTTCAATAAATCCAAAATTTTTAGAGCCTCTTGGAGTTGGAATTATGACCTAAAAGTCATACACAAGTTGCAATTTGCTGTCCAGGCCTCTGTTTGTCACTAATACTAAATTCAACCTTATCTCCTATCTGAGAAGTAGGTCCTTCCATATCCTTGGCTTGAAAAGCGATAGTCAGTTTCACCCCACAATCATCATAAGTAATAATGCCATCCTCAGCCTCCTTCTCTTTGCCTTTATTTGGGCTAGTGGTTTTAGGATTGGAGAAAGTGCCTTCTTTTTCTACACTGCCCAGAAAACGATGATCTGAATGGGAATGGAATGAAACCATGCCCTTGGGAAGTTTTTTAATCCTAATAGCATGATTTCTTTGGGCAGAGAGCATATCAGGAACCAGAGTAAACTCCCTTTCATCTGCAATATGGAGCTGGTTCCCATCTAGAATTTCACTGAAGTGGAAGAACATACGAGCATCATGATCCACACACTTGATGAAACCAAAACCATCTCTCATGGCGGCAATCACACCCATTTCTCTGGCTTCATTAGTGAACTGAAATGTTTTTGATAGGACTTCTATATTGGTTGCTCGTTCTAATTTGTCACATCGGTCTGTCGAAATATTAAACCTAGCATGGTCACCTTCCAGCAGGGTCACCTTAGATTTTGTATCTTTGTCTCCAAAGGGAAGTGCTTTAGGAATCACAAAGTCAACTTTGATGCGTCCTGGCAATGGGTCATTCTGGTTTTTACTGGGTACTTTTGGGATAACTTTGGTTACAGTTCCTTCAGAATGTTCATGCTGATATCTTTAAAAATGACTGTTCCTTGAGGCAATAGTCTGACATCTGTTGCAACTTCTTTACCATTTTTGTCCTTGATTGTGAATTCCACGTCATCTCCAGGCTGTAAGGTTTCTAGGTCACCCTTAAATTCACTATAGTGAAAGAATATCTCTTTTACAACATCATCTCTTTCAATAAAGCCAAACGCTTCCTTCATGGCACAAACTACTCCCTGACAGTGGGCTTGTTTCTTTTTCTCTTTTTTTTGAGACGGAGCCTCAAGCTATCGCCCTGGGTAGAGTGCCATGGCATCACGCTCACAGCAACCTCCAACTCCTGGGCTCAAGCGAGTCTCCTGCCTCTGCCTCCCAAGTAGCTCGGAC